ACTCGTGTAGAAGACAGTCTCAACGTCATCTATGAGGATGAGCAAGAGAGGTCGATAAGAGCTGCACAAGTTGCAGTTAACGGTGGAGATCGAACAGCGATTGCGCATGGAAACAAGTCATTACTTCCAAACCGTAGGGAAACCTAAGGGCTGTCAACAGGGCTCGACGAGGTGAAACGAGTGATTGAACGATAGGCGGCGACGGAGGCAAGGAAGTGCCAGTCGAGTAGCACCAGTGATGAAAGGCCATGTTAGCCTAGGAACTCTCGGAGCCTCCATTCGGCAGCAGAAATCGCATTCTCCAGTCGAAGCATGGGCACACCACAGGCGACGAATAAACGTCGCCGGTCCTGCTGAACGGCTTATATAACGGTCACGGCGAAAAACCTTGTACGGGAGTGGGGCGGTGCGGCACTCGGCGAATGTGAGAATTAATTTCCTGCCGAACTTGTGCCGGCCTGGCGAACGTCATCGGATCATATTCACAATAATCGAGTCTAAATAAACATAATTTTGACGTCCGTCGTGGCTTTCGATCGACGGTCCGACGGAGGACGGTTTAATGCATGAACTTAATTAAAGCCAGTTTTTAGGCGTGTTTGCTTCTTTGCGCTTCTTGCGGTCAGACGGCGCCGATATCGAGCACAAATAACAGTCTGGCCAAGTGCACGAGGCGCACGGACGCGGCCACTCGTCGGCTAATAACGACCATTTGCGACATCGGTCTTGGCAGAACTCCTCCTCGGTCGACCGACAGTGAACGACGTACGCCGAAATGAATCCGGTCGTCTGGTGCGAACGACGGTTTCAAACGCGCCATTGTTGCCACGAAAATGGCCAACTTGGCAAACGTGAGGAAATACGCAAAAATGGAACGAAAGGAGATAATCGAAAAGGGCGATTTTCGTACTCGATGACTCATTAAATGTCCTCCTCTGTCACAACATCTAAACCTAATATCTTGTACTCATCTGAGGCCGGCGAATCACCTTCCTGATCTGCAGTGCGATCCATAACGGTATGCATGGCAGTTGCAGCTGCCCGTCATAAATGCCTACGATGAATAGCCCTTGCCCCCTCCTTGCAACGATACTACATCAGCTTTTGCATGCGCGTTTATTCGAATGATCACCTCGAACCGTTTGCATATGCACAACGTCTGGAAGTTGTGATGTCATACGAATGCACAGCTTTTCGAGACTTTTGCCATGAAGCATCTGAAACTGCATCGTCAAACGAGCAACTTCGCTTAGAAAGCAGATCTGTCACTAATTTGCCCCCCCCCACCCGTGTTGCATGCTCCATCCTGAAATACATCTGACCTGTTTTGGCTTCCATACGAGAAGCTAGAATAAAGGGTTTATGTCTAGTTCGTCTAACAGGTTCAACTTCTTTTTCAAGAAAGTCATTTCTCACACGGTCCTGCAATTTAACCCTCATAGTGCGTGGAAGTCGACGTTTTTCAATCGACGTTATTGCTTCAAAATTCCTCACTCTTTATAGCAAAATTCCTCACCCGGACAAGATAGAGACAGACAAGATTTTGTGGAAAGAATTATTCTATTCCCAATACAAATAAGGAATAGGTTAGAAAAACCAGTTGACGCTAGGAAGGTCATTCTAATTAAATCTGGCTGGATGGCACCGTTGATAATGGAGTCGACGTATTAAATAGCGAATTTCCTAAAGCGCTTAACCTCCCTGTTCCTCCCTGCTAAACAAAGTGTGCTTGATGGATTCTTCATAACTCGTGACTTCCGGATGCTAAGCATACGGCTAGCATTCGCAACTGTGTTGCATACGGAATCGGACGAGTGACAGGCCGACTTCCGGTACTACTCGCAAGAACGATGTCACTCGTATACTCAAGATCAGCATGATATTCAATCAAATATCTTGGCCGGTGCCTTCCATCAAAAATGAGACCTGTACTTTTTAACAGGTTCAATACTGAATCAAAGAAGCTGAGGTAGTTGATGCGCCAATCATCTCCACAAATGAAACAATGTTTGTCGCATTTTATCATGATGGCTGCATACAGTAAACGATAAGAGGAGTGATGGATATGAAGCGAGCTCAAAAACAATGCGAGATGTTCCCATTTCAGGTCAGATTTTCATAAGCGTCCGCTGTGGTTCATCACTGAGAAAAGTTTCCTTCCAAAAAATTTCCAGAACCTAGGCATTAACAGCAAATGCCAATTTATTTAATTAATATATAAAACATTAATTAATAATTTAAAATTTTAATGACGGAATCAAGCAATGGGCGATCACCTTGAATCCGAAGCAACACTGGCAGCAATCTTACATCTCATTACGGCATACAATAAGTGCAAAAGACAAACTAGGCGTATTTGGTTCTTAAACGATGCCAGGTTAGTG